GGAGTCGAGGCGCTGGATGATAGCCTGTAAGCTGCATCATGGCGTTGCTCGTCGGCAATGTGGGTCAGTTAAGAAACGGAGCACATGCAGGCGTCGTCAGGTACGGCGGCCGATTCGCCAACTCGATAGCGAGAAAGGCGATTGGCGTCCTGATGCAGGGATCCAGACTTGTATGCCACAGCAAAGGTGTATTCTTGCAGTCGCAGAGCCCAGCGACCAAGTCAACCTGTGGGATCTCTCAAGGATGAAAGCTAGCAGAGCGCGTGGTGGTCAGTGACGACAGACAAGTGAGTGCCATATAAATATGGACAGAACTTCGAGAATGCCCAAACAAGAGCAAGGCATTTTCGCTCCGTGATCGAATAGTAGTTGCAATGCAGGTGTGAGGCTAGCATAGGCGATAACGCGGTCATGTCCCTGTTGGTGTTGGGCGAGAACGGCTCCGATAACGTGACCACTGGCATCCGTTCGGACCTCAGTTTGGGCAGATGGGTCAAATTCAAAAGTGTGATGTCGTCAAAAGTGTGACGAGGCCAGAGAAGGCGGCAGCTTGAGTGAACCCCCACAAAAATGGGACACCTTTCATCAGAAGATTGGTAAATAGTTGGGCGATTGCTGCAAAGTCTTTCACGAATCGCCTGAAGTAGGAACAGTGTCCCACAAAGCTCCGGACATCTTCGGCAGATCTGCAGATCTGGGTACAGGGAAACTCGTGATGGCAGAAATTTTGTGAGGCTCCAGCTGCACACCACAAGCATCGACGAGGTGGCTCAGCACTGTAATTTGTCGGTGGCCGAAGTGACATTTCAAGGAGTTCAACTGGAGGCCAGCGTTGCGGAAGACGTTGAGAATGGCTGACAGATGCTCGAATGTAGGTGAAAATATGAGGACGTCGTCTAGGTAACACAGGTATGTTGACCATTTGAACCAGTATAGCAGAGAGTCCATCACACATTTGAACATGGCTGGGGCGTTGCATAGACCGTAGGGCACAACCTTGAATTGGTACAGGCCATTGGGAGGGACGAAGGTGGTCTTTTTTTGGTTTTTCTCATCCCCGGCAATCTGCTAATAACCAGAGCGAATGTCGATGGATGAAAAGTGGCGTGCACTATGGAGAAAATCGAAAGCGTCATCAATACGGGGCAAAGGATACACGTCCTCTTTTTCGTAATTTGATTTAGATGCTGGTAATCGATGCAGGAACGCCATGTTTCACCTTCTTTTTAACCAAGACGACGGGTGACGCCCATGGGCTTGATGAGGGCTCAGTAAAGCCTTTAGTTAACATCTTGTTCCCTTCAGCTTGAATAATCTAACGCTCCGATGCGGACACGCGATACGGTTGACGGTGAATGGGAGCAGCACAACCTGTGTTGATGCGGTGCTAGACAAGAGAAGTTTGGTTGAGTGGTTGATCGTCGTGGTCGAAGATCGTCGTGGTAGGAACCTAAAAGGCGGATGAGGGCGGCTGATTGCACTGGGGGGAGGTCAGGAGCGATCATGAGACATATTGACATGTGGAGGCGTGTGGCATCGGGTGGGCGACGAGGAAGATTAGTGCATACATCGGCGGCGAAAGTGGTGACGTGGTCATCGGCTAAGGACCGCAACGTGGCGATTAGGATGCTTTCAGGAAGGACTTGCTTCGTGAAGCGCAAATTTATGACGGGTAGATGTATCCGGTCGGCAGCTATAGCTATGACGCAGTGACGGACGGTGACGTCACGGGCCAGTAGGACATCAGGAATCGGCGTGGCGATTTAATCCCCACCCAATGCGGGTGAGGTCGTGGTGAATTCGGAGAATATGGGGGTTTAGGCGGTGGGCGAAGTAAATCTGTGGCACACAGGCCACGTTCAAGTTGAGGTTGAATATCCGGCTGAAAAAGAAGGTATAAGCAAAGAGTGCCAGCGAAACAGTCTATCAGAGTAGAGTGGGTCAACGGGAAGTTCATCCCTAAGATGAAGTCATGAGGACAGTTATAGAGCACCGTGAATAGGACAGGAACGTAGCGGTCGGCGATGCTTATGTGAGCCGTACACAGTTCTGATGACAGGAACAGTTCCACACGTATAGCTTCTGTAGCAGGAGGTGCGAGTACTTTTCTTAAGCAGCGACAATGATGAACACTGATTATGGACACATGAGCGCCAATATCGACTAGTGCCATCAAAGAAATACTGTCCACATGCACATGGATAAGATTTTTGTTCGTAGAAAGCGTCAATGGAGGGTTCGGTTCAGACGGAGATGATGCAGCACTACTTGCAGGATCTGCACGGTCTAGCTTTCCATCGGGTATGATGGAAAGTTGGGTGGCGAGATATGGGGTCGTGGCTGGGGAGACGGAGAACGACAACGTTGAGGGGACGGAGAGCAAGCAGGAAGGCGGCTGCTAGGTGTGTTGAAAGCAGGATCCATACGGCTGGGCGAATACTGGCGAAGATCTTCATATGGGCGATAAGGTGCGAAAGACTGGTTCTTATGTGGCAGCGTCCAGGAGGCACGGCAGTAGGGGGAGACATGGCCAATGTAGTTGCACTCAAAGCAGATCGGTTTGTTGTCGGGAGTCCGCCATTCTGTGGTGTTGTGAGATCGTGGAGAAACGAGTGGGTCACGTCGAGATGAATTGATGAGCATTGGTCTGTAGGAGGGGCGAGATACGGGGCAAGCGACAGGAAACCCGAGGTTTACGAATTCTGGTCGTCCGACTGCCTGAATAACATAGACCGCGGGGGTTGTTGGTATCTTAGCATGTTTGAAAAGAGAGGGCTAAGCCGCGCAGGACTTGCTGCTTTACGTTCCCATCGAACGATACGCGTGACACTGCTCAAAGGGCGGTGCGGCTGCAGAATCAGAGCAGGTTGACGTAGCCGCCGTGCTTTGGCAAACGAGAAAAAGGAGGGCGTACCCAACGACTTTTTGTTGTTTCGAAACGGCAGCATTCTTGGATGATGCGATCGATAGTCAAGATGTTGATGTAGACCAGCAAATTGAAAGCGTCGTCTGTGATTCCCTTCAAAACGGGACCAACCTTGTCAGCTTCAGACATCGCCTCGTCCACTTTCGGGCAAAAAGTGAGAACCTCTTGTATGTAGGACGCATACGATTCAGTTGGTGACTGGACATGGGTAGCGAGCTCCTGTCATGCAGTTGTGTGGCGAGGACAGGGAACGTTCCACCTCCACCGAATATGTTACGTGAGTAACGAGTCAATATATTGCAAATACATTTACAAAATATATTTGAAAGAGCGGTTGCAGCGCTGGCCAATCTTGCTCCGAGCTCAAACAGCAAGCGATCTTCACCCTCTTCGTCGGGCGCATATGCGCATTGACAATATGCATTGCGGCACCCTACATGTAGCAATATCTTTCAAGAAGTATGTGCTTACTGGTCTGCAACCACTCGTAACTTGTATTCAGAAGTACTATCTTAAAATGCGCCAAGAAGAGCATAAGCTGATTCTAGGCTAACAGAATCATGAGTCAACTCGCTCAGACTCAGATCAAGCTGTGAGTCATGGTGAGTCCAGGTGAGTAAAGTCCGCTTGAGAAAATCTTTGTGTGTGAGTCCAAGCGAATTCAGCTGAGTATAATTCGGCGAGACCGAGTCCGAGAAAGTCCTACAAGCAAAATATATTCCGTGGGCAAGTCCAAGTGATCTCAACAGTTTTTGTCGACCTATGCACAGTAAAACACAATATGCGAAATTTCGCAAAAGTGATAAATGTCCGCCAAAGTGACAGCGGCTCGCAGGTATTGTGTAATATGCCACACATGTCCGCTGATCAGTTGGCGTTCTGTACCTTGTTTGGTATCGTATCACGTTCGATTCAGTTCTGATTCGAGCCATTTGGCAGTATGTATGCCCCCATTCGTGATCACACTATCTCGCATGGCAGAATGGGCTTTAAAAGATAATGAATGGTGTAATGGAAACCGCAGATCAAAAGTCTTCAAGCACCCGCACTGCCGCCCGTCGGATCCTCAAACAGGTGGCGGCAAACACATATCCTGTCTTTTCATGTAAAACAAAAATGTATTCAACTCAAAGGTATTTGCAAGTTTAACCCTTTTGAGACGCTATGTTCACTATTGCGCAAGTCAGAGCTAACAAAGTGCTGGACTACGAAGCTAATGAGACAAGGCGGAGACTAACTAGGACTTGCACTGCTAACGCCACAGAACACTTGAAAAGACGAGCCAGCAGACAATATACAACGTGCGGACTCGGCTCGGCTTTGACTGGCCAAGCTCGCAGGCTCTCACGGGATAACTCTATGCTTCATGAAATGCTGCGTAGCATCGTCATCAACCACAAACAATGGCGTCCCCCATAGTGTCATTGTTTTGGGGCATTTGATGGGTTACTTAAACTTCAGTTAACTTTGGTGCGTTTACGATAATTTAGCTGTCAAATAACCAAGAAAATGCTTAATGTAGACATAATGCGGACCAGCTAATAAGAATTTTCCGTTGGAGACAGCGCCAGAAAATAAAATAGTGAAAAAATGCATAGGCAAGCGCTGTCGTGTGTACTTTCTTTTCGTGCTGTTTTTAAAGATAAAAAATGTTGTCAGCTTAATTCACTAGTTAGCGTGGTTTGATTTGTGGCAGGTCGAGTAACTCATGTCCTGGAAAAATTTTTGTTGCACTGGGAGAACAATAAAAATGTGGTTTGTTGTCGAGAAATTTTTAATACATTAAAGCCTAGGGGATGCAGGCGGGAAATCCGAAAGCGTTCGTTGAAGTGGAAATATCATTGTAGAGGAGTTTGTTTAAGCAAAGTTTGAGTGTATTTTGTAAAGAATGATCACAGACCCAGTCCGGTGATCCAAAAAAGCCAGCCACAAAGTGGGATAATAGACACAAATGATTTGAAAGCCATAGGAACTGCCTTAGCCTAGCCACATCGTGCTTTTGGACACTCGCCAGTTTACTTGCAATGGGTTGCTGAGCAAGAACAAGTATTTTGTGAGAAGAAAGCACGAGTACCTGTGGAGAGGCAGGAGGCTGTGCCAATGTGCAGAGCATCCCGGTGGCTTCATCGTTCGAGGCTTCCTCTTCCAAGGTGCTGACACCAGCTGCTGTGCCATTCTCACCTGGTGTCAAGCTGGTCAGGGCCGTGGAGTCGCTGGTGGCCGACGCTTCTCCCGACTCGAGCGGCAACTCGGGGGAGGCACACTGCGTCACAAAGAAATAAAATAACAACAAACAAACAAAAAACATTGCGAAAAACAAAAGGGGGTGGGAGGGGAGTCTCAATCGCAAATGCTAACACCAGAGTTGCGGTTTTATAGTGGCTAGGAGTGACCGAACACACGAAGGCAGAGTTTTTCACTAAGGTGAGAGTCTCAAAGGATCAAGACAACTAGCAGAATCTATTTCTGTCAAAACAACTCGAGTGTGTCTTCCTGGGACACAGGTGAACGAATGGGACAACACAGCTGGCTGCCGCACAAGCGCGGGTCAAAGATTTGCTTACTGCTAGATTCTTTTGACAAAAACGACAAAACACGTCTGGCCTCTTTTTATTGTGATAACAATTATATGGACAGTCAAGGCTGTTTTTTGCCACCGCCACCGTCCTTCACTCGATATGTATAGGTATCTATATATATAAACACTCAAAGAAAAAAAGCCGCCTGTGCAGACACGTGCTTATCTTGCGTGCTTATCTTGCGCGCTTATCTTTTGGTGGGGGAATCTTTCACTGAAACCAAAGCGTTAGTTGCCGGGCCCACAAAGGTCACTTCGGTTTCTGCACAGGCCCCTTTTGCCAAAACGGCGCGCTTTTCAAAACAGAGAGGTATAAAAACTGGAACACTTGTTAGTTCGTACTCATCTGCACCTGTGATTACGTATCGTGCATCGTTTTTGTTTAAACAGCGCATTACATGTCGAACGGTAAATGCTGTTAGCCCGCTCTCGTCCAGCGAGTATAGTTTTCGTGCGTAATTTGTGTGTGAGCAGCACGCTGCACGTTTCGATCTGCTTGCCGTTCTCAGCATTACACTCCAGGTTGTTGCTATCGCATTTATTGCTTCGCCCTTGCGGCGAAACTGCAACTTTTATTTTTTACGTATTTACTGCCTTTAACCTACCCCTGCAAGCCCTCGAAGCTCGCAGATTGCGTTGCCGCGACTGCAGTTTTGTGCGTGGCGGTCGCAGCAAACGGCAGTTCAGTTTACAATCCCCATAGACTTGGCTGCGCTCGCACCTTCAAAACTAAGTCGTTTTATGTCATCTACGATGGCATCTGCCGCAGGTTTGTCCACAGAGTTTGCGGATAGCAGCGTTGCTTTGACTGGTTGAGCGCACACTTTTGGGGTTTTCTCAGTTATGTCGTCGCCATAGATGATCGTGTCAAGAGCAACCGCGGTTTCGTCCTCAGTAGTTGTGGCAACGACAATCACACGCACTTTAGTGCGCCACTTTGGAAGCTTCGAGTATGCTGCTCTCGGCCTTCGTTCAATGGTTTTCGTACTAAAGTTCGTATCACCCGCCGCCATTAGGAAATGTGTTTGAAACGTTCGAATTGAGGCCCAATGAACATAGTAAAATTTGGCTGGGGAATTTAAGAATTCATATCTGCCGCGGTTTCACATCACTGAGATTATACTGTACGTTTACATGAACACCTTAAACTCATTTTTAATAAAATGGGGTAGGTTCGAAAAGCCTGGAGCGGATCTAGCTGCTTTTTTGTCAATGCGGCCAGATCCGGCACAGAAATTTCCATTTCCGGGAGATTTGCATGACAACCGTACAACTGGAAAATATGGTCAAAATCCGGGAGTCTCCCAGCCAATCTGGGAGACTTGGCAGGTATGCAAAAATCTCTGGTGCGCGTGCATTGTACGCCTTAGAGTCGGCCGTTACGTCACCTCTGAATAAACCCCTCTCGTAGACGTAACAGAAGGGTGAAGGTGCTGGCTACAGCACGCCAACGTACTACGAAGCCACCGCTGTTTAGAGTTCGCCAGAGCCACAGTCTTGCCGGTCTGCTAATGACAACAGTTTTCATGGCCCAGAGCAAAGGTCAGGAATCAACTGCCTCAACCATGTGCAGGTCTACGCTGGCTACAACTAGGCATCACTACATAAAACCCCCGCCCGTTCGTGGGAAGGGCAGGACAAGATGTGGACGCATTGTTAACGTATTGCAAAAAGGGTGAGCCGGTACAACCATTGGAACTCCATCGATCAACTCGCACTTGCACTGCTATAAATATATCGCGATGTCGTTTTATCATGCTTAAGATAACTACTGATTACGGTCTATCTACACTAAGCTTTCAAGGCACATCTCTTCAGAATAAGCTTGACTGCAACCTAACCAGTACAACACAGTTGAATACATTTTTAAGAAAGCTAAAGCACTCCCTTATTGGCAATGTATAGCACACTTTCTCGCAGTTTTCTGTTTCTTTTTCTTTTCTTTCCTTTAAGATGCATTTTATTATAAGGTATTCTTGCTTGGGATGTAAAAACAGCGCAATTTGCACTGTTTTTACATCCCAAGCATGAACCACCAACTAGCCCAACTTTCGCTATTATTATAAGGTATTGTTAGAAAAATTATAAATTTCTGACTGTCTTTTGTACTGTGCATTTTTTAGTTGTGCATAATTTAGACAATTTTCTTCCTTTGCAGTCTTTTTTAAACAGCTGCTATATATGTTTTACTACAGATATCTTCGGTAGGGACCCTTCAGCAAATCTGCAGGGTCCCAAAAGTGTCTCTTTTGCAATCAATACATGTGTCATGTTAAATAAACTTTCAAAACTGTAAAATGTCGCTGTTGTTTCTCACAGACACCGCCCTGATGTGATAAGAAAACCACGAAGAGTCCTTGAAAATATGGGCGCTTTTTGCTCAAGGACTGAAGAAGTGCTTCGGTGACTCCGATTTGAAAAAGAAAAGCGCGGAGCTGACTCTCGCTCAAAGAGCTCGGACTCCGGGAGAAACGTGCACTACTTATATAGAGGACATTCTGAAGCTTTGCAACATTCTAAGTCTGCAGATGTCTGAAGAAGACAGGGTCAGACACTTTTTGAAGGGTATAGCGTAAGACGCTTACCATTTTCTGATAGGTATTTATTTATTTACTTATTTATTTATAATACCTCAAGGGCCCCAGTCAAGGGGTGTTCCATGAGGAGGTAGACAGTTCACAAACAGATGATTTGTTCGATGGCTTCTTTGAAATGGGCGATGCTGGAGTGATGCACGATGTCAGCAGGAAGATCGTTCCATTCTGTTGATGTGTGCACAAAAAATGAAGAGTGATGGGCAGTGGTATGCGCACGGGGTGGATAAACCACTTTCGAATGGCTGATACGGCATGAAAGACGATGGGCTGGAACGATAACATGATTTAGGTGCAATGCATGATAAAATGTGTGAAGCAAACACAGTCTAGAAATTTTGCAGCGTGAAGCTAAGTTAACCATGTTAGCTTGAGATTTTAGTTTGGTGATGCTGCTAAGATAGGAATAGTCAGAATAAATGAATCTGGCAGCATGATTTTGGATAGTTTTAAGCGTTTTAATAAGAGTTATTTGATGGGGATCCCAGATGACACATGCGTATTCTAGCTTCAGGCGGACTAGTGTTAGATAGGTTAAAAGTTTAACAGAAGGTGGGGCTAGACGTAAGTTTCTTCGGAGATAGCCAAGCACGCGGTTGGCGTCATTAGTGATGTTCATAATGTGGGATGACCAGGTCAGATCTGAAGTTAGAGTGATACCGAGGTATTTACATGAATTAGCTGCTGTTATTTCAGAATCAAATAGGAAGTATTTATTAGAGGAATAGGATTGACGGCAATGGAAGGAAATGACACAAGTTTTCTTTATGTTAAGGGACATCAGCCATTTTTCGCACCATGATTGAATCAAACAAAGATCAGACTGTAGGATGACAGGGTCGTTGGAATTGTGAATAGGACGATAAATGACACAGTCGTCTGCGAGCAGACGAATGTTAGACGCTAAGTTATTGGGGAGGTCGTTAATATAGATTAGGAATAATAGAGGACCAAGGACCGTGCCTTGAGGTACGCCGGAGGTTACAGCAGATAGGGAGGAGCGATGGTTATTAGCACAAACGAACTGCTTACGGTTAGTCAAGAAGTCACATATCCAATTAAAAACAAGACAATTAAGGTTAAGACGTGAAAGCTTAAAAAATAATCTGTTATGAGAAACTTTGTCAAAGGCTTTTTCGAAATCAATGAAAATTGCGTCTACAGGTATGTTATTATCCAGGCTAGAACTCAGGTCATTAACGAACAGGGCGAGTTGAGTGTCACATGAAAGTCCTTTTTGAAAACCGTGTTGGTTAGGGTGAAAGAAATGTATTGAACGTAGAAAAATTACTATGTGGGAATAAATTATGTGTTCCACTAATTTAGAGCATACACTTGTGATGGATATAGGGCGATAATTACTCGGTGAAGATGAAAGACCTTTTTTCGGGACATGAACGATCTTACCAAGCTTCCAGTCTTCCGGCACCACTCCGCATGCAATAGACTGCTGAAATATGTGCGAAAGAATAATGCTTGTTATAGGCTTAGTGTTTTTCAGAATTTTGGAATTGATGCCATCCATTCCCGCGGATGACGTTAGTTTCAATTCGTCAATTAGTTTTGCAATACCGTATGAATCGAATGTAATGCCTGGCATGACAGGATGATCAAGAAATGGGGAGTTTGGAAGTGGACTGCAAGATTCAGGGGTAAATACGGAAGAGAAGGCAGTATTTAGTACTTGAGGGGTAACATGTTCTGGAATAGGATCGCCGTGTTCATCAAGTAAGGATAACGTTTTAGTGGGGTCGGGGTTAATGGCTCTCCAAAATTGTTTGGGGTTATTTCGTAGCATATTAGGTAATGTAGAATAGAAAAAAGAACGCTTAGCCTTCGCAGCGAGTGATCTACACGAACATGCTGTCTATATATGTCACATCAGATCACAAGAACTGGGACAGTATTCTACCTTTCAACATTATGCATTTAACACCGCGCAGCATGAAACTAACAGCTACAGTCCTTTCTTTCTTCTGTATGCTCGACTGCCTCGTCATACCCTCGATACTATCTTCTCGTATTTGAACCACCATAATCTCTGCATACCAGAGATCGTCTGTCGTGCCGAAAAAGCCAGACACCTTGCTT